TGGAGATGAGGAGAGGGTTCTTCACTGTGAGGGTGGTGGAGCACTGGGACAGGTTGCCCAGGGAGGTGGTTGAGGCCCCTTCCCTGGAGATATTCAAGGGGAGGCTCGATGGGGCAACCTGGTCTAGTTGGGGGTGTCCCTGCTGACTGCGGGGGGGTGGGACTAGATGACCTTTGGAGGTCCCTTCCGGCCTGGACAACTCTATGATTCTTGAGGAGCTGCTTGGTGTCACATCCCAGCCCCCTGCCCCTTCTCTGAGGGCTCCAGGAAGGTTGGGGACACCCTTGGGGACACCCTTGGGGACACCTTGGGGACACCAGGCGTGTTGAGGTGTGGGTTTTTATCAATGTTCCTCTGGGGTTGTCCCAACAGAGCAGCAGCACCAAGAAGGACAAGGAGGCCATGGAAGACAAGAAACGCAACCCCATCCTCAAATACATCGGGAAACCCAAAATCTCCTCCCAGAGCAGTGAGTACTTTTGGGGACTTTTCTGGGGTGCTGCACCCCCCCCTCCTCTGCTACCTGGAGGTCACCTGGGGTGGCCTTTGTCACCCGTGGGGCTCCTGAAGAACCATCACCCACCTTCTCCTTTCCTCCAGCCGTTCCTTGGAAGCCCCTTTTCTCCTTTTGAGGCCAAATTTGTCACTTCTACCCCCATCCTGTGGGTTTGAGGGCAGCCCCTGGGGTCTCACAGCTCCTGGGGGAGGGGGGGGGCTGAGATGAGAGCGTGTTACACGCGTGTGCACACGCGTGTGTGTGTGTGTGTGTGTCCTCCTCTCTCTCCCCTTCTCCAGACGTTGCTTCACCCCGTTCCCTCTCCCCCTTCCTCTGCCACGGGATGGATTTGACATCTCATATTTTATTTTTTTGTTGTTGTTTTTTTGTTTCTCTTTTCCTTTTCCTTTCAGCATTTCATGTCCCTTTGTCCCCCGTTGAAGGTAAAAAAAAAACCTCTTTTTTTTTTTTTTTTCCCATTCCCCTCATGCGCTTCGTTTTATTTTGCCCCCCAACTTCTTTTCCCCCCC